GTCGATCTCAAAATGTGGCTCTCGCCTTAGCGCCGCGCACATTCGTTTTGAAAAAATGCAAGAGCTTCACGGATTGAGGGCGGGTCGTGATCAAAATGTGGCTCTCGCCTTAGCGCCGCGTACATTCGTTTGACACATTTGCGAGAGCTTCATGGATGAAGGGCGGGTGATTTTCAAAATGTGGCTCTCGACTTAGCGCCGCGTACAGTCGTTTTAAAAATTGCAGAAAAGTTTCACGCATCGAGGGCGGGCCGATCTCAGAATGTGGCTCTCGCCTTAGCGCCGCGCACATTCGTTTACAGAATTGCAGGAGCTTTACGGATGGAGGGCGGGTCGTTTTCAAAATGTGGCTCTCGCCTTAGCTCCGCGCACATTTGTTTTCAAAGAGATTGCAAGAGTTTCACGGATTGAGGGCGGTTCCTTTTCAACAGATGGCTCTCGCCTGAACGTCGCGCAAATTCGATTTGTAACATTGACAGAGCTTCTCGGATTCCGTTGAACAACGTACCAGAAATAGTGTACGAATCCGGATTATACGGGCGCAGCAGTTACATCCCCAGGACGAAAGTTTTTTCCTCTTGGGCCCGGAACGACGGTGTGAAGTCTTCAGCAGACCCGTATGAGATAACCGCCGTCGGATCTCATGAAGCTCGCGCGGATCCTAATGTGGCTTTGGTGTTTGTTTCGGTGGATCCGATTTCCGTCGGTACGGATCCGATTTCGAATTCGTTGGATCCGTGTCCGGTCTCATTTTTTTACGGCGGATCCGATTTCTACACTGTTTTAAATTTATATTATTAAGTTAAACCAGGAGACCGGAAGAAATCGGATCCGCGGACCCCGCAAACCACCCGTGTTAAGATTCTATGGGGGAGGGGGGTTCGGTAATCAACTTTCCACGATGGGCCCTGCGTCGTCTCGCGCACTCCCATCAACTCCCCGCGCGAGCGGGCCCCATTCAACATGAATACATACATCCCTCCCCCCCCGGTTGCTGAAAACAGCTCGTCCGGTCGCCGTCCGTTCGGCGGCGCCGACGTTGTCTCGCGAACTCCTCATGGCCATTTCCACCTCAAGAGGAAAATCTTTCGTCCTGCGTAAGTATGTTGGTTCGCGGTGTTGAAATCCCAGAAAGGGCGCTCTGGCACGATTCCGGATCGTCAAGACGCAGCAGTCAGGATGATAGTACGTGGCGTTAAAATCCCGAGAAAAAATGTTGGCATGCTTCAGGATCTTCAAACGGCTCTTCCAACGAAGCAGTCCCCTCAATGGAAATGAACCGTTGTGGGGGCCTCTGAAGAGGGAGCGTGGAGGGAGGATGAATTCCAACATCGTTGATGACGCTTGGTTTTACACTGGTCCTCCTCCTCCTCCCTCCTCCTCCTCCTCCTCCTCCTCCTCCTCCTCCTCCTCCTCCTCCTCCTCCAGTCCTCCTCCTCCTCCTCCTCCTCCTCCTCCTCCTCCTCCTCCTCCTCCTCTCCTCCTCCTCCTCCTCCTCCTCCTCCTCCTCCTCCTCCTCCTCCTCCTCCTCCCCGCCCCTCCCTCCTCCTCCCCTTCCTCCTCCTCCTCCTCCTCCTCCTCCTCCTCCTCCGCCTCCGCCTCCTCCTCCTCCCCTCCTCCCTCCTCCTCCTCCTCCGCCTCCTCCTCCTCCTTTCTCATCCCTCCTCCTTCTTTTCCTCCTCATGTGCCTCCTCATCCTCCTGCTCCTCCTGCTCCTCCTGCTGCTGCTCCTCCTCCTCTCCTCCTCCTCCTCCTCCTTCCTCCTCCTCCTCTCCTCCTCCTCCTCCCCTCCTCCTCCTCCTCCTCTCCTCCTCCTCCTCCTCCTCAGCTACCCGTTACACCTACGGGATTTGGCTGCCCGGGCATCCTTCGACGAATCGTCAGCTGGTCCTGCCGCGAGCTACCACCGCCAACGGCGGGGGGCCCGAAGGAGGCACTAGCCCTGGCCTCACCGTCAGAACGTGGGGGGGGCGAGAGGATCGCGAGCCCTTCTTGGACGACGCCAGCCGTGCACCAGACCAGCTCGATTGACTCCTCCTCCGGCCTTCTCCTCCCCCTCCTCCTCCTCCTCCTCCTCCTCCTCCTCCTCCTCCTCCTCCTCATCCTCCTCCCCCTCCTCCCCCTCCTCCCCCTCCTCCTCCTCCTCCTCCTCCTCCTCCTCGCACGTAGCCCAGGAAAGTCCTCAAGTCATCATCACTCTACATCAGCCTGCTGAAGCATCTGGGCTCGGGCTGCCCGAGCAGAAATTACCAGAGCCTGAGAAGAGCAACGACGGTGAGCATTGTACAGATAGTATGCAGTTACAATACGTTGGGCTGCCAAATCCCGCTCATCATCTGTAAGCGAGCGAGCGAGGGCGAGCCGAGAATCGAGATGCACTGGGAGGGGTTTGTCAGGATGCCAAACTTGGTGGACAGCACCCCACAGCCACGGGCAGCACATATAATGAGCCTGGCTATCCTCACCTTCCTCCTCAGAACACCCGAAGAGACACATGCAGCGCTTCTGAGACATCCTCCGCTCCGTCACCCACCCACCCGCCAGAGTCTTTACAATGCACATCTGCCATGACGGAGGCGCGCTCAACATTCTATCACGGAGAGCGGGCCAGTCAATGGCTTTCATGGCGCGGGCAGAAGGGGGCCTCGAGGCCCACGAAGAAATACGCCGTTTGATGGTGTCCGAAAGGCAATCCTGATACAGACTCGCGCCCAAGGAGCGGCCAAAAACTCTCTGGACCTGGACCCGCGGATTCCCCTCTTGGGCTTCCTTCAAGGCGAGCTTAGCCCGAGCCACCGGGGCCCGCAGCCAGTCATTCTCAACAAAACCTGCTGCAGCCTCGGCCAACTCCTGCACAAAGGCCCTACGCTGCCAGAACGGAGGTGACCAACAGTTGCGGGTCCAGAGCACGATGGGGAGGGCGGCCCTAGCCTTCTTCTGCAGGCGGCAGAGCAGAGGCCTCCAGTTCTTGATGGCGATGGCCGCGGCTCGCCACAGGGTCGCTGTAGCCTGCACCTTGAGCGACAAAGGGCGAACCTTGGCCCAAGTCCTGAGGGCGAGGAGGTCCTGGAGCGGGAAAGTGCAAGGAGGGAGGTGAAGGACTTTGTGCAGGGCCCACGACTCCCATCGTGCCACATGCTTTGGGAGAGGGGCAAGTTGGCAGAGGTAGGAGAACTTGGAGACAGCACGAGAGTTATAAAGCTGGATTGCGACCGAGGGAGCGGCCTGCTGCTTTGTTATCGCGTGCACCACCTCCACCCACTCCCGAAACATCCTCGACCACATCTCCATATTCGCAGCAGGGCCAATCCATACCCCAAGGTACTCTGCCATGGCGGCGACAGGCATGCTTTTCCAGCTCGGGACATGTACCGCTAGCAAAGCTTCGATTGACTTCTTCAATTCTGGGGAGAACTCCGCTTCCAGTGGCACGATGCAGCACTTTGGTATTTTTAATTGCAGCCCCGCAAGGACTTCAGCAGCATAAAAAACACCATGCACTCTCCTAAGAGCCTTGACTTCCGAGAGAGCTAAACCCACATCGTCCGCACACACGCCAGCCTCCGAACCTGGCGAGAGGGCAAGGCGCTTCCTGAGGGCCCTCAGAAGGGGATCCATCGAGAAGGCCCACAACGAACCACTGGCAGGGTCCCCCTGCATGGCGCCCGAACTAATCACACAAAAGGCCAGGAGCTGACCCAGGATCGGAGTTTTTGCACAAGCGAAGGCGTACGTGGCTTGAAAGAACGCCAGGAGACCCGATGGCATTCCCACGCTGGAAAGCACCTCCCACAGGAAACTGCGAGCCAGAGAGGGGAAGGCATTGCCGAAATCAGCAAGGAAGAGGATGGGGTGATGGACCCTGGCAACGTCGGACATCCCAAGGATCCTGGACGTGGTATCCAGGAGGGTGATGTTCTCCAAAAAGTTTCTGCCGACCAGGAAGCCCTTTTGGTCCTCCTGAGCCTGGGAACTCAACATTCTCTTAAACTGAAAGTTACAGACCGACGAGAGCACTTTAATGTCCGTGTTCTTGAGAGCAAGCGGCCTTGTGGCTGCAGGTTCTCTCACAACACACTGACCGTCGTCTTCACGCTTGCCTTTAGGCGCGAAGATTAGAATCACATCATTCATATCCGTGGGAGGGGGGAAGCCAGCCTGGAGGTAGAGGAGGAGGTCGTAAAGAATCTCTGCAGATAATTCGTGCTGCTGCCATGCTGCATAGGGAAGGCCGTCAGGGCCTGGAGCCGTGGGCTTCGCTCGCTTCAGCGTCTCCCTGATTTGATTAACCGTGGGGACACTGACATCGGTCCAGTCAAAAGAAACAGCGTGCTGCGCTAAGTACCTACGGACATGCTGGACAGGGACCTGCTTCCACGTGAACACGGGAGCCCAGTGCTGATGCAACACCGATGTCATCGCCTGCGCATCCGACACGACAGCACCATCAGGGCCCACAAGGGCCTGGAGCGGAAGGGTCTTCCGAACAGGCGCCCAAAGTTTGGCACGCCTACGCTCCGAGTACATATACGATCTTAAACGCTTGCGCTCCTTCTGTGACTCACTAGCTTTCACCGCCGATTCCGCCGAGGCTAATCTGCGCTCTGCGCGCTGCTGCTGGAGGGCTTCGTATTGACGACGGAACACGACAGCAGACTTCAGACCGACACGACCTTCTCCCTCCAGCGTGATATGCTCGGCGGCGGCAGGAGCAGTGGCCAGCAACTTCGAGGCAAGACGAGTGTCGTTATAGTTAACAGCCCTAGCAACAGATCTGTAAATCAGAAGTTTCGAGTCTAGCTCTGGGGCCGAGTGTTTGATCAACGCATCCCTGGACATTCGGGCGGCTTCCCTGAGCAGACGTTTATATTCACGCCACCGTGCCATAGTTGGGAGAGAGTAGAGAGGAGAGTGAGAGATCAGAAGCGACAGGAAGTGAGAGAAGGATGGGGAGCTGCAGACATGCCTCGGGAGCGGCTGCTCCTGTGGTGGACGCTGCGGACGCACAGCAAACGTCACGCGGACAGGCGCATGGTCGGAAATGCCCTGGCTGTGGAGCTCCTCGGGCTTGTCCATTACCGTGGCCGAGATGCACCAATTGATGAGCATCCAGCCGGGCGTCGAAGTGAAAAACTTGTCTAGCTGCGTGAGGCGCTCACCGTCATGGACATAGTGCGTCGGCTGCTCAGGATCCAGTTCCACTAGGCTCGCCAGCGCGTCCAGCCAGAGGTTCCCTCTCTCCCTGTGGCGCGCCTGCGACATGACACCCTTGTCTATCTCTGGAGTGGCCAGGTACATCGCCGCCCTCTCATGGAAGTTGAAGTCCCCCATGAGCAGCACAGTGGAGCGCTGCGGGTTTGCCTCAGCTATTTCAGCCTCCGCAGCAATCCTTCTCATCAACGCCGTCGCCACCGACTCGTCCAGGCCGAAGTTGTGAATGTTGTAGACCACGAGCATGCTGTCCTGAGCGCGGCTGCCATTGGAGTGGGATGCCCTCGCCTTCACCTGGAGGCGCTGGACATAGCCAGGCACGATCACCGTGTGCCTGAGGCGTCCCGCTTCCACAGCTTCATCAGCTTCCTGTTGAGAGAAGCCAGGCAGGAGAAGGGCCACTCCGCCAGCGTTATGCCGAGGTACGGATGCGAAGACTGCTGCCTTCCTGTGTGACAGATAAACCTCATGTCGGAGCTCCTCTTCCGTGCCGTGTACTTCTTGTAAACCAATCATGGTGTGAGGATTCATCAAGGCTGCCAATCGTCTGCATTTCTTTTTCCTGATCGCAGGAAGGTGATGAAGAAGAGCTCGAGCATTCCATGTGATAAAAGAGGGAACCCCTGTGTCATACTGCGCGAGGTCCTCAATCCAAGGCTGCATAATCATATTAAATCTGCCACCGCACTTCCTCTGATGTGTGAAATATACCGTTGAAGCGCGCCAGCAATGCTTCCTTGTCCAGATTCTTTGAGCGAACCGCTGCATAGTTCCAAAGTAGCTTCGTCGGGGCATCCTTTTCCTGTCCGATCTCGAGCTGAACGGCTGGTTGTCCATCCACAAACACGATGCCCTTTGTCCGATCATGTCGCACACGTAGCTCTGCATGTGTTTCACGTACCAGACCTGCCAACTTCTTGGTTTGAATTTCTCGTCTAACCATTTTGTCACTTTTGTCCAAGCCCACGAAAATACGCGAACGACCTCCTTCCAGTGTCGGACAGCTGAATTGCCTCCACTCATTGTTCTGCCTGAGGAATCGCCGCGCCTGCTTGACTTTGCGCATCCCTGCACTCGCATCCCCAGACATCTGCACCGTGAATCGTCGACCAGGCGAGTTGCCCAGAACCTTCCATTGATGCTCCTCCATGCCCGCGTCCTGCATCCAGGGCACCAGCTGTTCCTTGAGAGCGTCCCCCGTGACCATGGCCTCCGTATTCGCAATGAAGACCGTGCCATCGGGGTCCCTGTCCCACTCCAGCGCGCTGCCGAAGTCCTTGATGGGGATTGTGGCCTCCGCGATATGCAACTCCCGACGGAGTTGCTCCACTTCAGCTCTGACCTGTCGTTGCTCCGTCTCGAAGGAGTTCTGACGCTGGCGGAGTTCGTCCAGCTCTGAGCGTACTTGTACATTTGTGGCCTCTTGTCGATCACTGACAGCTTTGACCAAGTTAGCCGTGTGACCATTGACTTCTGCGATGATGCTGCGCTTGGTTTCGCCCATGCGTGTGTTGATGGACCGCTCCACATCCGACTTGAAGGCCGCCAGCAGCTCGTCGATGTCTCCCCGCGAAAGCGAAGAGGAGGATTCGTCATTGGGCGCTTGCTGCACGTGCGGCCGCTTGGGAGCGGGTGGGCCAGCACTGGCAGCAGCGTCGTTGCTCCATGGATCTGCAGCGCCTTGCAGAGGGTCCGCAGAGCGAGCACTAGCAGGAGAACGGCGGCCATGCCCAGCTTGTCGCTGCCTCTCTTCCTCAGCGGCCGTGGCTCCCCCCGAGCGCGAGCGGGGAGAACCTTCCCCACGGGACGCCTCCCGCGCCTGATGTCCACGGGCAGCGGTTCCAGCGCCGCCAGGCCGCGAGGAGTGCGCCGAGGCGGACAGGCAACCTCGCGCATCGCGGGCCGGCGGTGGCATCGGCTGGCTCCCAATGGGAGCTCGCGCGGGCGGAAAGAGGGGCCAAGACGGCGTCGTGAAGGGAACGTTAGCAAAGAGGGGCTGCTGAGGCAGACTCGCACACAGCAGGATCGTGGGTGTACCCGAATCGCTCGACAGAGAACGACGGACAGGCCAAAGCTAATCAGAGTCAGCTATTTTACGTTAGCGTCCTCCGTTTAGCCTTGAGCCAAAATGGCTACGGACCTCCTCCTCCTCCTCCTCCCCCTCCTCCTCCTCCTCATCATCCTCCTCCTCCTCCTCCTCCTGCTGCTCCTCCTCCTCCTCCTCCTCCTCCTCCTCATCCTCCTCCTCCTCCTCCTCCCCCTCCTCCTCCAGGCGTCCGAGGTCTGGGT